ATGCTCTTAAGTAGGTGTCTGTTGCTGTGTATCTACTCCTTGTCTAGTTCAACAAGAACACTTGCACTTTTTTCTTTCCCACCCTCGTTGCTCTATCTCATCTTTCATATCTAAAATCTAAATCTGGTGCTAAAATCTCCCTTCTTCCACTACCTGCAGCTGCAACCATGCACTTCATGTTATGTATGATGTTTTTGATTATGCTCTTAAGTAGGTGTCTGTTGCTGTGTATCTACTCCTTGTCTAGTTCAACAAGAACACTTGCACTTTTTTCTTTCCCACCCTCGTTGCTCTATCTCATCTTTCATATCTAAAATCTAAATCTGGTGCTAAAATCTCCCTTCTTCCACTACCTGCAGCTGCAACCATGCACTTCATGTTATGTATGATGTTTTTGATTCCTTCCTTGTTGCCTACCCTTTAAGTGCTATATATCTCCTCAGATACTATCTGTAAGCACACACGATCATTTCTCTTCTCCACTTTTATTTATATTTCTCACTTCTGTGTCTACTCTACTTTCACCACTAGGCCACAATTAGCCTGTTTTTCAATTAGCTCTGTAAGGTTAGACACCTATTCTAAGCACTGGGGCCTCAGATTACAATCGCTTCAGTGCAGAGTGTCCTATGTTTGTGATTTCCTATGTAAATGTATAGTGCAGTGAATTTTAAGTAATGCTGTATTGTTTTTTCATGAATATAAGCACTTCTGGGAGTGCTTTGAATATAATCTTCCCCCAAAATGCATATAATTAGTTTTAAACACTTTTTAAAGCTATTAACTTCTGTACATAAAACAGAAAGCAGAACATGCCTTGAGTCATATGTTCGCTATGCCAGCTAGAGTGGAGTTACAACACAAGATACTCCAGGACTACATAAACGTTTGCTAGTTTTGACTTAAATGTGGGAGCACCCAACATGTCTTCACCTGGTGTGATGTTTTGCTCAGGAAACCCAGAACTGTAAGACACTGTTATCCTTCTGCATGAGCAGATGAGAGCTTTGCTGGTGATTTAGACTGTCAGTTCACTGCCACAGTGGTCTAGCAAATTCAAGACTGTGCCAGTCTAAACCTTGTCTTTCAGGTAATATACAGTGAACTCCAATTGCTGAGTTCCCCCAGAAATGTCTTCTGCAATGTCCAGTCTCTATCACTGGACACTCATATAAATATTACGTTTGCTGCCTCCGAAGAGGAAGTGTGCACTCTAACTTGTTATACTAGCTGAAGACACTCCACTTCTATAAACTATAGTGAGATTATAATTAAACAAGAGCAAGTTTATTAACAAACGTCAGAAATAAAAGTGATTTTAAGCATAAGAAAACAGTTTCTAGTGAAACAGCTTCTAGTGAAAAAAATTTAACCTTAGCAAGTTACCGTCTTTGCCTAAGCAGTTTTCTTACTGACATTGTTACCAGGATGTAACAGACTATGTCTAAGATGTCCAAAGGGGTCTGCACCTCCATTTGATTTTTTGGGGTGGGGGTGGGGGATGTCTCCAAATGAAAAAAAAAAAGTAGAAAACCTCTGCTGTAACTCTCCAGGCTAAAGAATCCAATGGTCATAGACTCAGAGGGTGCTGTCCCTTCTGGCCCATAAATGATCAATAACTAAAATGTCAATTTTGGTATTGTAGTACCCAAAGTCCTTTATCTCAGCTTCAAGAGTCAGGAAGGAATCCTGGGGTGCTGCTTGTTAGCTTGATTGCTTTGTTTACCTTGTATGTAAATATGCTTTCCTTGTCCCCTTTTTGTAATGAAGCCAGTCAAACAGGTTAAACCACATTCCTTTGTCTAGGGCAGACTGGATTTATGCCCTGACTCCAAAACACATTTCAAGAACATATTTCCAGAATAGATAAAAGTCTTTATGCATAAACTGTACATACATCAGATGAAGATGTTTGGGACCAGCTGCTTAACAGTTTAAATATGCTTTATGGCATACCTTTAGATACACACTCTGACAACAGTGTTGAAGAGGTGGGATAGCGAATATGTCAGGCCTGAGATGAGTTACAATATGGTTGGTCTTGTGCCTTTGGGCATGAAAAAGCTTTTACTGTTGCATCTGGTTTTTGTGGAAGCATTTTATTTTTCAGAATGAAAATGATTAATATAGTTAAATAAAGTGATGGTTACCTAAGTAGCCCACCTTCTTTTATTGTCCTAAATTAGGCAACATCATATTTTTTTAAAACTTACTCGGTTGTGGGATTTCAATTCGGTGTTCTGGAAAGATAATTGTCTAAACTTGAATTAGAAAGCGTTTGAGGCAGTTCTTTCATTCAAGTATTATGTTGGTCAGATGCACATACAGGGAAGAAGTATAGACTTATGAGTTGTTTGCTTATGTCCACTTCCAAGACTGTATTATATAAGGTACTTACTACAAATCATATGATCTTAGCTAGAAAACATAGATTTTGTTTTTTTGTCAAAAGCAGACATGTTTGTTTCTTAATCAGGCAAATTATTGACTTGGTTTTTAAACATTTTTAGGGGTATGCAGACACAGAAGAGACACTGGGTAATTGCATCCTCAGACTAAGTGAAACAGCTTCTGACAACGGAGAAGGGATTCTTCCTAGAACTACTAGATTAAGGGCTGCTCTACGACTTCTCTTCTCAAAAAAGCAGTCGTGAGTAATGTCCTGTAGTAATTTCAGTGTATGACGCATGATATTTGCAAGTCTAACCTAAACAATTAAAAAAAACTTGAAAAATAATGAATAGTCTAGTAGAACCTTAAAGACTAACAAAACACATACAGGCAGTCCCCGGGTTACGTACAAGATAGGGACTGTAGGTTTGTTCTTAAGTTGAATCTGTATGTAAGTCGGAACTGGCGTCAGCCGGTGCTGAAACTGATCAGTTTCAACCGCGGCTGAATCTGGATGCCAGTTCTGACTTACATACAGATTCAATTTCAGAAACCCAGGCGTCCCCAAGTCAGCTGCTGCTGAAACTGATCAGCGGCTGATTCCAGGAAGCCTGGGGCAGAGCAACTCTGCCTCGGGCTTCCTGTAGTCAGCCGCTGGTAAGTTTCAGCAGCGGCTGACTTGGGGACACCTGGGGCAGAGCAGCTGGGGTGCTGCTGGGTTGC